CTGGCCTGAACGACATCAGCTGAAAGGCATTGTGTCACACTACTGGCCCTGCAAGGCAGATATAACTGTCGGCAATAATCCTATTCTCTAAGGCGAAAATTCTCATACCAGAGACGTTGCGACCCAGCATTCTGGAAACACTCCATGAGGGCCACAAAGCATCACGAAAAACTCGGGACATAGCAAGCAATGTGTGTGGTGGCTGAATCTTAGATAACAAATCGGTGAATTGTTTCAATAAGTCATGTGTGTTGTAAGAATCACCAGGAGCCTTTGCTGCCTTCAGAAATGCCTGAACGTCCATAGAAGCATCAGATCTGTTTGAACTGAACAAACAACCCTATGTACTCGTAGTGGACTATTACTCTTGTGTTATTGACATTGTGAGAGTCACAAGTACATGATCTAAAGTGGTGATAAATTATCTGAAGAGTATCTTTTTGTTTGCATTTCTATAAACTGTTTCAGATTGTTTATCACTTAAAGTGATTTTACAGTTCACATTCGTCCAATATTCGCTGGATGTTTTTTTCATGCTGCTCAAGGTTTCTACAGTGAAAATGTTTGTGTTGATTCCACAACAAATGATAGAGTTAAAAAACCAAACTAATCTTTTACCAAGTTTTTGTTGTTACTAAATAGATGTTTGTCATGTAAGTTCCAATATGTTTCACAGGTGATACATGACTTGCTTGAAATGCAAATACCCATCGTATCAGATGATACAAACAAAATATTGTAAACAAGAAGACAAAGTCATCAATATCCCCTGCAATGGCAAAATACTCTTCATGATTATGTCTACGAGTTATGATTATGTCAAATGGTGACATATATAGAAAGGTGTGTATATAGAAAAGTGGAAGGAGAGTATTGAAAGGTTTTGAAAGTTCTGCTCCAGAAAGAAGCACTATCACCAATTTCAGTGTAAGTCAAACTTGTTGCCATGGAAATGCCAAAAATATTTTATTCAGAATTCCAAAACAACCAAAAGGCACAAGTACACCACCAGATCTATCTATGTGCCAAGTTTGGTGAAGAAATATTGAATGGTTTTAGAGTTCTGCTCCGGAAAAGAGCACAACCACCAATTTCAGTCTAAGTCAAACTTGTTGCCATGGAAACGCAAAAACATTTTTATTCAGAATTCCAAAACTACCAAAAGGCACAAGTACACCACCAGATCTATCTATGTGCCAAGTTTGGTGAAGAAATAGTTAACAGTTTTAGAGTTCAGCTCCGGACAAAAAGCACTACCACAATTTCAGGCTAAGTGAAACTTGTTGCCATGGAAACGCCAAAAATATTTTATTCAGAATTCCAAAACAACCAAAAGGCACCAGTACACCACCAGATCTATCTATGTGCCAAGTTTGGTGAAGAAATATTAAACGGTTTTAGAGTTCTTCTCCGGAAAAGAACACAACCACCAATTTCAGTCAAAGTCGAACTCGTTGCCATGGAAACGCCAAAAATATTTTATTCAGAATTCCAAAACTACCAAAAGGCACCAGTACACCACCAGATCTATCTATGTGCCGAGTTTGGTGATGAAATAGTGAACGGTTTTAGAGTTCTGCTCCGGAAAAGAGCACTACCACCAATTTCAGTCAAAGTCGACCTTTTTGCCATGGAAATGCCAAAAATATTTAATTCAGAATTCCAAAACTACCAAAAGGCACCAGTACACCACCAGATCCATGTATGTGCCAAGTTTGGGGAAGAAATATTGAACGGTTTTAGAGTTCTGCTCCGGAAAAGACAAATGTGCACGGACGGACGGAGGGACGGACCTTGCGACGACGACGCCGACGCGACGACGCACGCACACGGAGTCCATTTTAATACCCCCCGCAAAACGCGTTGCGGGGGATAACAACTGAGCAAACAGTGGAAATAGACACATATCTGTCTTAGTTCGACCAAAAGTGTACCAAATTAAGTTTTTAAGAATGTTTGGACAACTAGAAGTAGTGTGGGTTACAAGAGGTTATATACACATGGATATATGAAGATAAACAAAGGTGTTTTTTTCCTTAAGTGACATCTACAAATGGACTTGTACTTTTAACAGGTCTAGATAAAACAATGTGCATTATAACATACTGATTGATGTATTACTTCACCCATCGTAAACATAATAAGCAGAATTCAGTTGATCTGGATAATTTCTTCACATTTAATATGCAATAGCTTTGTAACAAATAAATAGTAACAGATACAAAACAATTATTACTGATAAACACAACAAATGAAAATATCATCAACGGGAGTCTCACAACCCATAATGAGAAACCTTGTTAGTATCGACCTCGTTAAAATGGACACCCTGCAATCCAGATGATTACTTCAAGAACATCTAATACAAACAAGGGACGTTACTTTATGACAATGATTTGCTAAACCAAACATTCGTTGAAACAGACGATTGTACTTGCCAGGTACATCCGGAATAACAAGGTTTTGCAATATTACAAGACTACCCTAGAGACAGGTGTACAGGTTTCTGATGACAGGTCATAAATATAGGTTAACAACCATTCTCTAGAATAAATAGTGCCCTGTTTGTGGTACAAAAATAGTCATCTTCGGTGAGTTTGTGTGTCAGAAAATAATCAATTTCATTGTGGATAAATTTTTAGCTGAGCCATAATAAACAAGAAGACAAAGTCATCAATATCCCCCGCAATGGCAAAATACTCTTCATGAATATGTCTACAAGTTATGATTATGTCAAATGTTTTGGTGTGTATATAGAAAAGTAGAAGGAGAGTATTGAAAGGTTTTAAAAGAAAGGAGCACTACCACCAGTTTCAGTCTAAGTCAAACTTGTTGGCATGGAAATGCAAAGATTTTTTATTCAGATAACCAAAACTACCAAAAGGCACCAGTACACCACCAGACCAGTCTATGTGCCAAGTTTGGTGAAGAAATAGTGAACGGTTTGAGAGTTCTCCTCCAGAAAAGAGCACTATCACCAATTTCAGTCTAAATCAAACTTGTTGCCATGGAAATGCAAAAAATATTTCATTCAGAATTCCAAAACTACCAAAAGGCACCAGTACACCACCAGATCTATCTATGTGGAGAAATAGTGAACGGTTTTAGAGTTCTGCTCCGGAAAAGAGCACTACCAACAAATTCAGTCGAAGTCAAACTTGTTGCCAAACTTGCCATGGAAATGCAAAAAATATTTCATTCAGAATTCCAAAACTACCAAAAGGCACCAGTACACCACCAGATCTATCTATGTGGAGAAATAGTGAACGGTTTTAGAGTTCTGCTCCGGAAAAGAGCACTACCAACAAATTCAGTCGAAGTCAAACTTGTTGCCATGGAAACAAAAAATATTTTATTCAGAATTCCAAAACTATCAAAAGGCACCAGTTCACCACCAAACCTGTCTATGTGTCAAGTTTGGTGAAGAAATATTGAATGGTTTTAAAGTTCTGCTCCCGAAAAGAACACTACCACCAATTTCACTCAAAGTCATCTTTGTTGCCATGGAAACGCAAAAAATATCATGATCAGAAATCCAAAAAACCAAAAGGCACCAGTTCACCACCAGACCTATATATGTGCCAAATTTGGTGAAGAAATATTGAACGGTTTGAGAGTTCTGCTCCGGAAAAGTGCACTAACACCAATTTCAGTCAAATCAAACTGGTCGCCATGGAAACGCAAAAAATATTTTATTTACAAATCCAAAACTACCAAAAGGCACCAATACACCACCAGACCTATCTATGTGAGAAGTTTGGTAAAGAAATATTGAACAGTTTAAAAATTCTGCTTCGGAAAAGACAAATGTGAACGGACACAAGGACGGAGTGCATTTTAATAGCCCCCCAAAAACTCGTTGCGGGGGATAATTATTACTTCTTAGTACCCATATCGGAAGGAGAACACAGGGTAGTATTTTTCCTATAAGTCCCTTGAGAGAACAAAACAGCCAATCAGCACGTAGGGATGTGGGGATTCCCCACATCATGAGTTTCCTAACCGAGAATGCTGTTTTCATTTTAGGGTTTTTGAGATCGAAAACTGATTTGGGCAATAAAAACAATAACCAACTTGTGACGTGGAATGACCAATTTTCTTTCCCTCATGATATTAATTACAAAATTAATATAACTCGGGAAAGATAATCTGTCATTCCCTGTCACTCGTTAGTAATTGTCTAAATCTTGCCTTCCCATCTCATCACCTTACTTTCCCTAAAAGCCTTCAGACACAATTCATCACTATGTTCAATTCTTCCTTTCATTGATTAATTAATTATGGCTGGGTATTGATATAGATAACACAGTTTGATAATCGTTAACTAAATATTGATTGATTATCAATAAATATCAGAAACATAACTTTGAGCAAAACTGAAAACAAATGTTGGAAAGAAATTAATATATTTCAGATCACTGGTGAGTATAGACATGTCTTGCATGGATTATTAACAAAACAACGTCTGGACAATTTTTCCCATCAATGTTCCCGATTATCGATTATTTTAGCGAGCCCTAGAAATAATGGACCAAATATTCACTATACACCAAAACAAATCTGAAAAGTTAATTTATATATATACCTAAAAACACAAAGCCTCACATTTTTCAATTTCAGAAAAATGTCCATGAAAATGAATGATTAATTTGAGGGATATTGTATCTCCATATATTGTGATAACAAATATCAGTTATCGTGTCATCATCCAATGGTTATAATATGTGATTGTCTAGTCTAGCATTTACTCACGCTGCATATGTCCCAGGTTTATATCCAACATAGGTACAATGTTAGAAGCCCATACTTGGTGTACCCGGTACCCTGTTAAGGTTCTTCTTAAACATGGACCAAAAGAATCACTCTCACTCACTTGACGTAGTACCTTGTTGACATTCATGTTAATAACTGACATTTGATCTAATAAGGCCAATGGTCTTTAGTGTCAGATCACAGATTTTTGTTTTTCAAAGTCAGAAAAAAGAGAACATCGACAAACATTATGAATATCAGCTTTTTATTTTTTGAGTGCTATGCTTTGATACAGATGCCTGACAATGGCACAAAAAATCTGTATCGAAACGTCGCACTCACAAAAATAAAGAAGTTGTTATCCATTAACTTCTGTCAACATTGTACTTCCCATCTTCTATAATGCCACTCAAACAATAAAAAAAGTGATAATTTTTTAACAAAACTGCAGTTCTTTTATATATAAAAAATGTGCTACAAAATGTTTTCTACAAATATTCCATGAACGAGGGGGAAAAAATAAGAAAAGATAAATGAATGAATTGCCACCTTTATCTGGAAGCTTTGGTTTTAATTGTTTATTTTCTCAGGAAGGAAAAAAAGTTAATTTAGGCAAAGTCCATGTACCTAAGACAAGGACATAGCTCTATATTTAATATTTATTATGCAAGGAATATTTCTATGACTCCTGGACTCAATGATACATCAAATATTTATGATCAATTGAGCATCATAAGTTTTATACATGATTTTTCTTAAAGCAGTAATCTGTAAATAATTATTCATAATTTATGTTGAATCCATAAATATAACAAGAAAGAGTTGCCCTACTGATACTTATACTTTCTTCACTCACAATACATACATACAAATTAAAATAATTTAAACTATCTCTGAATTTAACTCCAGTCAGTTAAATCCATGTATAAACACTGTGCCTGATACATGAAGCACTCTATGTAACAACCACTACACATTCACATCTAGCACCTTGAAAATCACAGAAATCACCCATGTTATACCAACAAGACCAGCCACCATTGTGGTTGTTGCTTAGGCAGTTGTGTTTTTATGTTCACTTTCTGATTCCTTGTAAAGCTGATAATTTTCTTTCCCAGATAAAAAGTTCAACATATTGGTGAACATACATGAAGCTCTGTGCTCTAATCTACTCTGATAAGACCATCGTCGGAACACGTACGACAGATACATATCCCAGTACTTTTCAGAACACAGAAACATGCTGTGACCAAACTCATGAAACACCATTACATAAAGAAGCATTATTGGTTTGAGGAAATGGAAGACTTGACTGCCATTTTAGGTACCAGGTATGATTCTGTACTCTGATTTTGGTTTGAGTACATGTCTGTACACATTGAAGTACCTGGGTACATATCTGACTTACCTAGGGGCACAATGACTTCTTCACTTCTAATAAACTGTACAGCAACTGGGAGATATATCCAAGCATGATATAGTGGATTATTGTGGAAGATATATTACTATATATGACATATGTTGTATAAGTTTTCAAAACTTGTGATGACTCCACCTCGGTTCTTTACAAATGTCTGCAGTCTATGGCACAGGGACTTGCTTAGCACTTTCAAAATGGAGGCTTGACTGGTTTCACAAGGGTGTTGCGCCTTCTATTAAGCTAGTTGTCTCCCCTGGGCTGTACTGAACTTTAGCTTTACACATGGGACAAATATTCTTGTGCTGCAGCCACTGGGTCAGACATCTGAAGATAAAACAGCAAATATATACTGGTTAATAAAAACATACATAAAACTGTAGTTTCAATGTCCAAATGCCTTATCATTCAGATTTGATTAAAAATGAAAAAGGGTAAAAAATTGAAAATTTGAACAATAAATTGGACATTTATAATATGTATTATATCTCGTTTTATGCACTTTCCATTGTTTTTTCAACCATGTCGTGATATAGACCTGAAACAAACTTTCCAGGATCACGGAAACAGCCCCTTGCTCTATTGTACGTAGTCACTAGAAGCCCATGCAAAGCATGTGTCTTATAATGGCTGACCCAATGAACCCAACTCGCAACGTTCGAATCTATCAACCACCAATGAAGGTACTGATGGAGATGTGATGGCAGACAAATCCTGGATTGTGGATCATTGATCTGCAGATATGGGCAAAGGAATACTTGCTGTTGTCATCTTAGAGTAAGAGCCTGAGCTGATGTGACGGGTTCCAAGAGGCAGGCCATTAGTTGAACCTCCAGATGAGGAGGATCAGATGTTAAGGACGGCTAGGACTGATGAAGCTGACGGAAGGATTGATGATCCTCCGACTGATGAACCATGGTGAGTCATAAGGCTGTAATGATTCACTCGCATATTCTGTGAATCCAACCATAGCCCTTCATGAATTCAATTCGTTATTCGTGGTCACCAGAACCGAATATTAACAAATAATTACGATTTTTTTAAGGGAGCATGTTTTACTTGAACCCTTGTGTACTTTTCCAAAGTGAGATATGCAAGAATGGAACATGTACTAGCATTGCAGTAGCGGAAGTCATGTTAGTTTGCCAAGGCCGCACATGGTACTGTCGACTATAACTATTACATACCAAATTTTAGTGTCATGAGATCACTGGTTATTGCTGTGACAAATCGAACTGTCAACAAGGGCGTTCCATATTGTGCATCAATCACTTAACTGCAATATTGTAATCATGAATAATTATTCGTATTCGTTACCCAATATTCATGATACATATCACATTCACCACATAGTGTATTCGTTGCAGCCCTAGTGAGTCATCCAGGAACCATGACGGTTCGCAGAATCCCTCACAACCATCACTCTAGACTGAACCAATGGGAGGGGAATCTGCGACTCGATGTGTTGTTAGATCCCCAAAAGAAGTGGAGATAATCATTGAGCCAAGTGTTGGAAGGAGTGTATTGGAAGGCTTCATCTGTATGGGTCGGCAAAGCTGTATCAGACCAGCAACCCTTTGTCATAGAGCAATTTGATTTCTTGCTAAAAGATGGGCCAAATTCATTGTGATGTTCCTTTAAGTTTTAGTATTCAATCCGATGTGCGGATGCCTTCCTTCCTATACACAGTAACTGGTGATCATCTTGTAGATCACAGGCCTGACATCAGCTGTGGCCAGCTACATACCCCTATGCAGTTTGGGCAGTAAAAGATCGATGAAAATGTCCATTTACACTTAGAGCAGTCGACTTCCCCATGCTAAGTAGTAAGGAGATTAAAGGCATGTCATAACCCTCTAAACCCTTTGGTATAGATTATATGATTTTATAGGACTTCAGTTGGGTGTCACTTGTCGGCCAGGACAAGACACATGAGCTTCCAGTGACTACCTACAACACTACAGGTTGCGGGGGTGTATGGATGAGGGGTAACAAGAGGCGGGCAACTATATTGCTGGTCGTTTCCACTCATGGTCGGGGAGAACAAGAGAAAGGGCACAACAAATAGGATATGCTTAAAAATTATTTTAGCTGCTAATGTATTATTGTGCTGCAATGTCTTTTGACCTTATGCTAACATTCATTGTTGTCATGGTTACAAACATCAATGCTGAATTAAAGCACCTTTGGAGAGACAGGTTCTGACAAAAACATTATTTTTGTCAAAGTGGAATCTTGTTAAAAAGATCAAGTCTACCATTAATATTAATCAGTCACAGAAAGTTTAAATCATGTGTGTCATTTTGTTTGAGAAAATGTTTGATGATTTAGTGAAATTTAAAGTCTATTTCTAGATATTCTTGACGTAAAAACTAAAATATCAAAATAAGATAACGTTTTTCTGCTTCACCATTCAAACATTTTCAGTGTAATCAATATTATAATGACATGTAGCAATCACACTTTGTCAAAACATACCCTTACCATAATCTTGTTCTCAGATAGGATTAAAACAAATAATTATTACACACCTACTTCCGTTATAAAATACATGATTATGGTGATGCATTATTATTCTCCAATCTTTGATTCAGTGTGCTCTAAGAGTACATTATCAGCTCCCTGGGGAGAGTCAAGTGGGCAGGCTCTGTGACTTCACTGAACAAGTGTCATCATTGCTCATTTGTTAGCCACTGGTTTGTCTGGTCCGGGATCAAACCTGATAATGATTGTCAGCATCTTACCCACGTCCTGAGCTTCATCAAAGAGACAAACATCTAGGGCCTGCATTGCTTCAGGCCTTCACCCACATCAATCTGATGCATCGTGACAAAACTGGAACACTATTTAGGAGATAAACCTAGTGTGTTTGAAAATCAGAGACATGCTTTACTGAATTGATGGCGACTAAATTTCAATTGGAACCGAGCAGCGTGGCGTGAGGTTTCAATTGAAAATATTTAGTCGCCATCAATTCAGTCAATTACATGTCTCTGATTTTCAAACACACTAGGGTTATCTCCATTCTACCATGACCAATTTAAAAGCGAACTTCCTCGCGGCTCTGCAAGGAAGACACTCGCGTAATCCGGCATGGGGCGAGAGGCGTAAGTGAACTTCGTCTGTGAAGGGAGCCGGTAGGTGCCGTTCATATTTTTTAACATTACAACATAACAATATTCTGTCCAAAGAAATCAAACTACTGTTTATTCAATGCAGTTATGTAATACCCGAGATCTTGGTTTTTTTCCATCCCAGCTCCACCACGACTAAAACCAGCCTATTGTTTTTGTGTGCCGTGAAACTGTACCCCTGGCCACACTATAATGGAATCGTCTGACCTACTTATTTTCTTGAAGTAGACAGTTACGCAACAGTTTGAAATGGCGGGGACGAGCCAGTGTTTACATTTTGCTAAAGGTTGAAATTTGAAGTGACAGTGGACAATACTTGACTGACTGTTGAATCTGAACCCTGCAGAATCGAAGAATAGATCCTTTCCTGATCAACGTACGACGACCTGTAACTTATCAAAGACTGTTGATTTTTATGACCCGGCCGATCATGATTTCATCGTACTGCCTCCACCCGGCATGCGACAAAGAGTCACAGTGCTGCTGCTTAGTGTACATGCGACTAACTTGTGATTCCTTGGAACTTTGTTTTCATCGTTTGGGACTGGACTGTGTCCAAGCGTTTTTCAAAGTAGATGAACATAACAGTGACAACCAAAGGAAGCTGGCAGAGAGCAGAATTGTTTTTGAGCGATGCAGCGGGATATGATGGGAGTATGACTATGAGTGGCATAAATGTGGTGTTTTGCCAGACCCTTAGATCTATCTTGCAAATTTCCCATTCTAAACGGAATTAAATATACCATTTACCAGGTAGGTAAATATTTACTAATGTTTTGCTGCATATTTTGTATAGATAGGGATGTATTTTTACAAGGCTTTCTGATTTATATGTTAGATATTGTTTTGTTTATGCTTGGGGCTGTGTATTGTAATTGAGTTTGAATATTTTTATAATAGAAGGTAATATGATAGTGAGGTTCCCTCATAATTGTAGGGGGAAAATCATATAACTGTATTTTTCGAGTTTAATAAATGTTTCATCAGCATTTCCATCACGTCTGTTGTGTTGATATTTAGTCATGTTGGTGGTCAAGCTGAAGTAGTGGGGCAGTGTTCTATACGATGCGCAGTGAAGCGCAATGAAATCAAACGCATTTTTAATCCAAAAATTTCCAATTGCCTATGTGTAAAATTCGAAAGTCAGCGTCAAAATCCATGGAGTTGTTGTTATGATCCGCCATCATTGTGGTCAAACGGAAGTAGTTCTCACAATAAGATTTGTTAATGCGCGCGTGAAGCGGCCTTACAATCAGATGAGCGTCAATCCACAATTGATGCCGTCTGATTTTTCTGAACAACCAATCAGAATCTAGTATTTTCTTGATTCATGGTAGAATAGAAGGTAATACTCATTGTGAAAACAATCAGATAACTCACTTTTGGTGGAACCTGTGTTTACAAGGACAAATGGCCAATGTTTCTTTGTACTTGAACTCCTCCAGACAAACAGCACATGTCTGAAACAGAAAATAGGGGACTCACAGCAAGAACTTTGGGACATATGTTTTGGTTGGTTCAATCATTTTTCTCATAAAAGTCAGTTCCGTAAGTGCTGAAAATATACAACTAAAAACATCATTGACATGACCAGGCTCAGTACCAAGATGTTGCTGGAGTTACTTCCCCTTACTGTCAACACCTGCTGTTGCAATAATTGTAGAAGCGATTCCATATGCAGGTACCAAGTGTAGCAAACCAATTTGTTGACACATTTTAGAAATATAGTGTTTTACTTTCATAAAAACATCTTTTGGAGGTCAACAGAGATTTCGACTCTAAATTTTATATTTATAATACTTATACTATCACATTTTTGCAATTTCTCTTTCAACAGGAGTAGAAATGACATGGATCTCTGAACTGCTCACCCAAACACACCCCTGCTCGAGTTCCACATATATCATTGATATGTCATCACTAGAAGCTCTTGCAGTGTATGCGTACTGCTCAGGCTGATCATGTGACCGCTGACTGTAATCATTCACTTGTCTTGGAGCCAGAACTTCCCCTAATGTCTGTAGTGGTTTCATACGAGACAGGATAAGTATTATAAACCGAATTTATATTTTTGATTTTTAAAACTTATGCTATCTCACGTTATGCACTTCTCCCACAGTTGGATTGTTGGCCTCAGATTATCTGTGAAATGATCAGTTCACAAGGAGGCTGGCCTAGACTTCTCATCTTCATAGTAGTGGTCATTGGCACACTTGTAATGTGTTGCTTCATGAAACCCTTCAGCAATACTAAACACAACCTCCATGGGAGTGGAGCATTTCTCTCTGTATCATTCATCAAAGGCCAAATGACTGAGCTCAGAGACAGGAATGCTACTTTGCCCCATTTTCAAACTGGCCACAGAATCTAAACACCTTTTGGTGTTCACTCTCTTCCCACAGAGGTTACTTGTCATATCTTCCTACAAACCTCTGTTCTAATACGGCCATATTTCCTGGTTCTCGTAAAATCCCCTAGCGGCAAAAGATCGCAACATGAATTATCTCCCTTCTTTCTATCCAATCAGAACACCTGTTACATCGACTTAGATTCAACTTGACTAAGACAAGCAAATGTGAGGCCACAAATATCCCCCATCTGCCGGGGACTTGTGTTGATGTTACACACAAGACGTTTAATGGCTAGCTTGTCCGTTGTCAACGAGGGCGATGGAGACGCCACTGATCCGCCACATGACTGTGTCCTGTCTAGAAGAAACATTTGCGCATCGCGCAGGAGAAGAAGTTTAGGTTTCTCGAAGCATACGGAAATTACCGAGGCCTTGCGAATGATCACTTTTGAAACAACATCACTGATTGCACAACTAAATCTGATTGCCTCCTATCACGAGTCTTGAACGCTCACACCATGAAAGGGCCGTATTAGAACAGAGGTTACGTAGGAAAATATGACAGGAGTAACCTCTGTGGGAAGAGAATGTTTGGTCTTAGGTTCTAGATGGGACCTAAGCGGCTGACCCTCGCTTGTCCCTCATCAAGCTTAATCAATGATAGACAACATGGGACAGGAACACTTGAAACTCCAGGGCCCCGTTCCTCAAAGCGATCGTAGCGTTAAGATGATCGTAACTCCCATACTTTAACATAGACTTACGACAGTCGTAGCGCTACGATCGCTTGGAGGAACGAGGCCAAGCATAGAATTCAGAATTCCTACTCCACTAACGTGACTGCCCGCAAGAATAGAGGATAGTGAGTAGAGCGATGATCACCTCAGACATATTGTACAAGGAGGGTCTCTACAGCCTATGATGAAATCACCAAAGAGGACTGTACTTTAACGCACCAGTAGACCACTGAGATAGATGGTGAGAGTCTTCAAGTAGACACCAATATCTGCACTGTTTGTCTCTAGATAGTTGCTGCACCAGTACCAAGGGTCTGAATAGGTGTAGTCCTTGGACATCAGATACGGACAAGTCACTAAGGTGGTGAGAGGCAAGGAGTGTGTCCAGTCTCCTCAAGCACTCCTCCATGATCGATGTTATTGATTGATTGAGTTTAGTTCTACTCAGCAATATCCCAGCTATATGGCGGCAGTCTGTAGATAATGGAGTCTGGACCAGACATGATCGATGTTAAGGAGCAGTTGCTGTGAAGATCCACAGTCAAGGCTAGCTCATGGGTTTCATGGGGGTTAAAGGTTACTGGAGGATGTAGACCAGAAAAGGTGTGTCCTTCAAGGATGGTTGATCTAATCCAAAACACTACAATCGTACCAGTTACTTAGTAACTGCAGATTCTGATACTATCAATGGAAGATCAATGAGGATCATCCGATCAAAAAAAGCATTACAAGTAGCATGTAATATCCTCTTGTGTAAATCACAAGATAAACTGGAACAAAGACTCTCTCCAGTGCAAGAATCTCTCCAGCCAGCATTCACGTGATCAACCCAGGCAGGTTGCATGTTCTGCAGGAGCTACTAGTGATGAGCCACATAATTATTCCTGCAACTTCTAGGGATTTGTCAATAGATATACCACAAAACCCTGTAAGAGTAAAGCTTGTTTCTTTCATAATGCTGTGAAATAAGGTCTTGTAATTTAGATCTTTTCATTCTCAAAATCCTGCCATGGTACAGTAACAGACCTGGCTATGATGAACTAGAGTTACACTGTTAGCTAAAATACTACACCCTCATTTGAAGTGAGTGACGAGCGAACGCTTTAACCATTAGGCTACCCCACCGCCCCCTCATTTGAAGAAAATATTTATTCTTTGTGAACAGCAACGTACATCCCATAGTCAGCCCCCTCAATCAGGTGAGGTGAGGTGAAATTGGGTTTAACGTCGTGCTTGAGAATATTTCGCTCATATGACGACGTGCATGCGTGTGTATGTGTATGTGCGGCTGCTTGTACTAGCCCAGACTGAAGCTGGTTTTATAGTGCTAGCCCACTGAGATACCATGCCGCAGTGAAGCATGAATACCCCACTCAGACACATTATACTGACTCCGAGCCAACCAGTCCTTGTTGTACCCATTAATGCCGAGTGCCAGGCAGGGACCAACAAGTACCATATTTTAAAGTCTTTTGGTATGACGCGGTCGGGGATCAAACCCGCGACCTTCCGCTCTCCGGGCAGACGCTCTAAAACTTCAGAGGAGAAGTTATTTACAGTACCTCATGCATTTTGAGAGAATTTAAGAACATGGTCGTCAAAACAACATCAAAACAAGAAGACAAAGTCATCGATATCCCCCGCAATGGCAAAATACTCTTCATGATTATGTCTACGAGTTATGATTATGTCAAATATTTAGGTGTGTATATAGAAAAGTGGAAGGAGAGTATTGAAAGGTTTTTAAAGTTCTGCTCCAGAAAGGAGCACTATCACCAATTTCAGTCTAAATCAAACTTGTTGCCATGGAAACGCCAAAAATATTTTATTCAGAATTCCAAAACTACCAAAAGGCACCAGTACACCACCAGATCTATCTATGTGCCAAGTTTGGTGAAGAAATAGTGAATGGTTTTAGAGTTCAGCTCCGGAAAAGAGCACGACCACAATTTCAGTCTAAGTCAAACTTGTTGCCATGGAAACACCAAAAATATTTTATTCAGAATTCCAAAACTACCAAAAGGCACCAGTACACCACCAGATCTATCTATGTGCCAAGTTTGGAGAAGAAATATCGAACTGTTTTAGAGTTCTGCTCTGGAAAAGAGCACTACCACCAATTTCCGTCTAAGTCAAACTTGTTGCCATGGAAACGCCAAAAATATTTTATTCAGAATTCCAAAACTACCAAAATGCACCAGTACACCACCAGATCTATCTATGTGCCAAGTTTGGTGAAGAAATATTGAACGGTTTTAGAATTCTGCTCCGGAAAAGAGCACTACCACCAATTTCAGGCTAAGTCGAACTTGTTGCCATGGAAACACCAAAAATATTTAATTCAGAATTCCAAAACAACCAAAAGGCACCAGTACACCACCAGATCTATCTATGTGCCAAGTTTGGTGAAGAAATATTGAACGGTTTTAGAGTTCTGCTCCGGAAAAGAGCACTACCACTCATTTCAGTCAAAGTCGAACTTGTTGCTATGGAAACGCCAAAAATATTTTATTCAGAATTCCAAAACTACCAAAAGGCACCAGTACACCACCAGATCTATCTGTGTGCCAAGTTTGCCAAAATATTTAACGGTTTTAGAGTTCTGCTCCGGAAAAGAGCACTACCACCAATTTCAGTCAAAGTCGAACTTGTTGCCATGGAAACGCCAAAAATATTTAATTCAGAATTCCAAAACTACCAAAAGGCACCAGTACACCACCAGATCCATGTATGTGCTAAGTTTGGTGAAGAAATATTGAACGGTTTTAGAGTTCTGCTCCGGAAAAGACGTGCACGGACGGACAGATGGACGCACGCACGGACTGAGTCCATTTTAATACCCCCCGCAAAACGTGTTGCGGGGGATAATAAATTGCAATGGCATTAGCTCATTTGGTTTCAGATGAACAAAAATATAAAGGCTTAATGATTCAATACCAGGGATTGAAATAGGGCTTAATGATTCAATACCAGGGATTGAAATAGGGCTTAATTTGCATGCCGTGGCATGGTAAATATTGAAACAAAATGTTGCCATTTTGAATGCCAGTGTGCATGACAGGATGATAACATAGTTTGTTAGTCTATGGGTCCGGGACATATTAAGCTGAACTGCTCGTGCAGTCATGATAGCGTTCAGGAAATCCAGCTGTCACGTTGACATGTTTACATGATGTTTACTGATTTATTAAACAATATATTGAAATGACATTATTGGATCCTAAAAAAGGTATGAGCATGTTTATTTTCACAAAGGCAACCAAAACTGCATTTCCATCCCTGAATATGAGCAACATAATCTAAATACATAAACATCATAACACTGCAGTTGAAAGTAAACCGTGCATTATGTTACCTCAGTTTCACCTTTCTTTTTCACCTTCGTTGTTCGAATCTGTAAAGAACATACAAGAAAATATTGGTACCGGTATATAAAATTTTATATTTTAAGAAACATAAATGTTACCAAATACCAATGCTGCAAAGAGGACATCAATGTGAAAGTCATTATTGCAGAATTAGTTTAAGCTGCTGGGAACAATATTTCCCGCATGTAAGTTTAAAATATCCTCACCATATATGTATTCTATCATAAACATGCCACGCAAAGTATTGATACACATTTTGTATCATAACTTTTCCTGGGATAACTTTAGGATGTCACAAAATTGCATTTGCAAATGTTGCATAAATAAAAGGTTTATCTGACAATATTCTCTTCCCATCTGGGCTATTCTAAACAGAACTGATTTATGAGTGTAAAACAAGGTACATATATATACAGAAGGGTTATCAGTTTCATGTACATAAACAAGGAATATTCGCAGCTTTTATGCAAATGCGTCTACACGTTCAATTGATACTGACATGACAGACAAATGATCATTTTAGATTGGGAAACCAAATTTGGCATGTGTTTTCAAGACATAAATGCCTTGATGGAGTTCAAAAACAGAAACTGTGTTACCATTTCTTACAGAGTTAAGGCCCTTGTCACACATTTGTTGACTTAGTGCACGGTATCCCCAATGGGGACAGATTTTCTCAGAAACTGTTATAGACAGGGAAACCATATTTGATACGTGCTTTTAGGACATGAATGTCGTGGTGGAGTTAAAACACAGGAACCGTGTGGCAGGGGATATTGATGACCATGTCTTCTTGTTTTGTAGGGAAAAGCCTACCGTATATTACCGTAGATAAGCCGACCCCATAGATAAGCCGACCCCCTAGCTTGACCCTTGAAATGAGTGTCAAAATGGTATGTTTCATACATAAGCCGAACCCCCGCGATGAGTCGCGGCCAACTCACACCACTAGACATCTGGCAGTTGGATGTAAAACGTAAGTATGTTTGGTGAAAATAGTATCTAATAAAGATCATACTGACCATTATTCTAGAAACCCGTGTTTGTTTTCTTTCTTATAATCCCAAAGATCACTGTTTGTATTGCATCAACAACAAGACGCCATTTTGTGAAGTCGGTGCACGTAGAAATATGAACCCATGAGAAAACGTACCCACGGTAAATAAAACTGAAGTCATTTTTCATTCAAAACACTATATTACTGTTTCTGTGTTATATTTGTTGTAAGTCGACAATAATACAGAATGAATACAGTGATGAAAATAATTTGTACATTCATTGAACATAATAAACATCTACTATGATGTAATTTATACAATGAACATTCACCGCTGTGAAACCATCGAACTCTGTGTCGCTGTCTTCCCCAGCCAGTGCCTGCCACGCCAATTCATCTGTGTTGTCATCATAATAGTCATCTAAGTTTTCACATCCAAGGACGTCATCTTCATCAGCTCTAGGATCATTGGTAATAAAATCTTCAAACAGGGCCTTGTCCTGTGATCCATCCATTGCATTCGAAATGCCACACTTTAGGAATGATTTTTGAACCATGTCCTTTGGGATCTCATCCCAGGATTCCTTCACCCATTTGGCAACTTCAAAATTCGGCTTATCTACGGTAATATACGGTCTAACACTGAACAAAACCATGCTTGTGCACAATAAAAGTAGATTTGTTTCTGAAAGGTTTTTTGATTTAGCAACTCACATTTCTGTACCCTCTTGCTCTCCGTCCATCCCGTCTCAATCTGTGAACATATATCAGGTTGTCTCATTACAGGTGCCTGGCTCAACATGAATGATGTTGAGGTGTGAGCATATACTACAATTGCTGTAGAAAGTGCTCGGGGGCATAACAATTTCAAGAGGGCACTTACCACCATACACAATGGAGTGGTAGTCACCAGGCTTAGCTTGAAGAGCAGTGAAACCAAAACATCCTATATAATGGTCACTTTGTCTCTTAAAGGCACAATGTCACACCACTAAAAAGACATAATGCATTTCTCTCAACAATACTAACTATCAGCCCTCAAGGGAGCTACCATATGATTTATTCCCCCCAAAATTATACATTTAGATTATAATATTAAATTAAAAAGTTAAAATGAATTTATGCAATGTTGCATTAAATCTACTGTCGCGCCCTCTACCAACCGAACATGATTTCTAGCGAACCCCATAGAGTTATGTCCCTTGGAGCGCTCTTTACGAATATCCTATAACCCAACTTATGATTGAAACCAGTTCGGCAAACACTGACAACACCGCGTGCGACTGTTTTCGTTGTACAGAGCAATTGTTTACATTCCATATCAGGCAAGTGTTCTCTGTTTGGAAGCTGTTCAAGCAAGTCATATGGGATAATAAGTCAGTTATTGCATCAATAGGAAGCTAAGGTGAGTGCACATGCCCCCAATATATTAAATATAGGCCAAAATATTGTTGAAAATGTGTGACATTGTGCCTTTAATATAACTTTAAATAATATATTATGAAAAGCATGTAAACTGTGACAGTTATATATTGTCCAAGAATCAGGAAGACATATGCTATATAGTACTATATGAGGGCCACAAACCTAATATTTTAGTTGAAAAATTCCAAGATGCACAATTTTCAGTTAAGTTAATGTATCGAGTAGTCATTTAACAGACACATAGTATGTCGAAAATTGCCAAACAAATGTTTTTCTCTGCATATTTTTGCTCAAATTGGTGATCATGACAACTTTGTCTATATACCTTGAGAATGAAACTTCTTCTTGCAGCAAATCTCTCATTTAATTTATATTGAAAGAATATAAATCGAAACACAAATAAAAGAGAACATAATCACATCTTACAGGAGTGTTCGGCCGAGCTGACAAAACTTAACAAGAGTCATCAGAAGATGACGTATCCCCCCGGACCCCACATATTTGAAAGAACAAATCATCTGACAGTTACTTTAAGTCCAGCTTGACTTTTTTTTAAACTAATTCCAAATCGTTTCCATGGAAATCATGAGCAATATAAATGCCAAAAATCTGTAAATAGCAAAAGGCACCATTTCAAAATTTGCCTAATATATCTGCAAAGTTCTGTTGAAAGATACTGAAGGCTTTTCGAGTTTTGCACCGGAAATGAAGCCCCTCCCTTTTGGGACTAAGTCCTAATCGTTTCCATGGAAACCGGGAAATATACATATGCCAAAACTCCGTCAAATAGCAAAAGGCACCACTTTGGCATCTGCCTCACATATCTGCCAAGTTTTGCTGAAAGATATTAAGAAGTTTTCGAGTTGTGCTCCGGAAACAAAACCCATCCCTCCCTTTTGAGACTAAGTCCGAATCGTTTCCATGGAAACCGAGAAAATAATAAATCACAAATATCTGCAAATAGCAAAAGGCACCACTTAAGGATCTGTTTGATATGTCTACTAGGTTTTGTTTAAAAATATTGAACGTTTTTTGAGTTATGCTCTGGAAACGAAGTCCACCCCCCCTTTAAGACTAAGTCCAAAACGTTTCCATGGAAACCGAGAAAATAATAAATCACAAATATCTGCAAATAGCAAAAGGCACCACTTAAGGATTTGTTTGATATGTCTACTAGGTTTTGTTTAAAAATATTGAACGTTTTTTGAGTTATGCTCTGGAAACGAAGTCCACCCCCCCCCTTTGAGACTAAGTCCAAAACGTTTCCATGGAAACCGAGAAAAATATATATGACAAAAATCTGTAAATAGCAAAAGGCACCACCTAAGGTTCTGTTTGAAATATCTACCAAAGGGAGAATAAAATAAGCTTTCAGATACCATTGTTTATTCCCGTCACGGGACATTGGTCACTGTGATAGAGAAAGTCGACATGATGACTCAATTGATTGAATAAACAATTACACATTGATAAATGTGTTATTAGTTCGTACTTTAATACCTCTAAAAAAAAAACTATTTTAAATCTTACCTACCTACCCTAAATTTCAAAGAGGTGTAATCGGAACCACAACATTTTGTTTATTTGGCCTTAGCTGTTTGGTAATACCTTTATGGGTCTAGTTCATGCAAAGGGGATTATTTTAAGGATATGTTTTTGTAAATGATTGAATGAATGAATCTGTGGACATGTTAGAAGGTCCGCGTAGTGTGTACCTACTTCCACATGTAGCAACAGAAGAGGAGGGAGAGGAGCAGGGTCATCACCCCCACCCCCAGCAGAGGCAGCGACACATTGAAGGGGATCTGGGATATGTTCATGATGACAGCATCCTGGTGTTCCCATGGCTGTAATACAATAACATAGATATAGCTGTAACACAGCTGTAACACAATAACATAGATATAGCTGTAACACAGTAACACAAACAGATAGCTGAAACACAATAACACATACATAGCTAAAACACAATAACAGCTGTAACACAATAACAGACACATAATTGTAACAGATATAGCTGAAACACAATAATACATACAAAGCTGAAACACAATAACACAGCTGTAACACAATAACACAGCTGTAACACAATAACAGACACATAATTGTAACAGTAACACAGACATAGCTGAAACACAATAACACAGATGTAACACAATAACACAGCTGTAACACAATAACAGCTGTAACACAATAACAGACACATAATTGTAACAGTAAGTTGAGTAACACTTACACAGCTGAAACAAAATAACACTTACACATAGGTGTAACACAATAACACAGCCATAACACAATAACACAGCTGTAACACAATAATATTGACACATAGCTGGAACAAATTCTAACATCACTACGTGAAATACTCGAATTTGTCGCGACAATCAATGAAATTTGACACTATCAATTTGGATTGAAAATGCGCCTGTTTATATGGCTGCTGCACTGAGCACATATACAACACTGCCACACTACTTCAACCTGCCCACCAACATGGCTGATATCACTACAACAGATGTAATAGAAATGATAATGATAATTGAATAAAACATTTATTAAAACTGCAATTATTAGACTTTTTCCTCCACAATTATTAGGGAACCTATCAATAAGTATCATGTTACAACACAACATCAAAAACATGGAAACACATCAGATGTAATATAAATGTTAATAATAATTTATAAAAAAAAATACAAAAATACAATTACATGTGTATGAAATTTCCCTCCACAATTATTAGGGAACCTATCATATTAACTTTTATTATAAGAATATTGAAACTTACTTGCAATGTGCAGTAAAACCACAAACAAACAATATCTAACTTATCAGAAAGCCTGGTAAAAATACATTCCCATTCATAAAATATTTACAACAAACGTTAGTAGGATTTGCCAACCTGGTAAGTTGTATTTTTGTTTCTGTTTAGAATGGTTTACACAACATGAGATATCCAGTAAGTTTGAATGAAGTTTGAAGCACTTCCTAAAGAACTGGCGTCCCACCTTCGATACTTTTATACAGAACTTCAAAAGATAACGGTCAGGTGAAACACCAAATTTATGCAACTCATACTCCATCATGTCCTGTTGCATCGTTCAAAATGTATATGTCAAAAATTGAACCACCCTAAGTCTGCTTTCTTCCAGCTTCCCCGCAAGAGGGGCACTGCTGGTGATCCGTGTTCATACACTTTAGAAAACACTTTGCCACAATCCTGTCCCAAATGATAAAAACAATTTCCAAGGAATCCCAAGTTAGTCGCATTTACACAAATCATTGCATTAAGTGAGCACTGTCACTCTTTTGTCGTATGCCGGGGTAGAGGCACGTGAACATCATGATTGACACTCGACAGTCATTAAAATCCACAGTCCTTGATGAGTTACAACACTGATTCGTCGGTCGATGAAAACAATGATCTATTCTTCATTTCTGCACGGTCCAAATTCAACAGTAAGTCATTGAGTCAAGAATTTTCCTCTGCTGTCACTTCAAATTTCACTCTCTTTTTTTTTGCAAAATGTAAACTCTGGCTTGTCTGCCTCTTTCCAATTTCAAACTGTTGCGTAACTGTCAACAATTACTTCAAAGAAAATAAGTAGGTCAGACATATAGGTCCATTATAGCATTGCAAGAAGGGTACAGTACCACGGCACACAAAAAAATAGGCTGGTTTTGGTCGTGTGTAGGTGGGCTTATAAAAAAGGTATTGAATAAATAGTTGTTTGTTTTCTTTGGACAGAATATTTTTTATGTTGCAATATAAAAAAAAATACAAACGGCACCTACCACTCCGTACACAGACGAGTTCAATTCGCCTCTCGTGCAATGCCAGATTACACAGTGTCTTCCGTGGAACGGATAAGTTTGATCATAAATCGGTTATCATGGTTATAGTAGAATGGAGATAAACGTAAACGCTACATGTTTGGTTTCAAATAACATTTCGAGACTATCAGTTCAGTCTAACATTCATCTAATTTTCAAATACAGTACGTTTGTCTCCTAAATAACATACACATAGCTGTAACACAATAACATATACACATTGAAGCCGGGATCTGTGACGTATTCATGGTGACAGCAACGTGATACATAAAAATAATACATCTGCAGCTTAAATAGCTGAATATTTAGTATAATTACGTTCATTGTTGCAATTTCACACATAACTGTTGTATGCATATATTAAATGTGTGGAAAGTTTTAACTACATTTACACTTTAATGGTTGGTCCTAGGTCTGTTTTATGCAGATAACCTTTAGTTGGCAGATACTGTGGTACAATCAACTTCCTACAGTGCTCTATAAACATGATAAAGGGGAACTAGCCTTGGGAAATGTTCGGTTCCACTCCAGCAGTTTAGAAGTTAATAGTCACCCAAGTCCACATCGATCACGTATCGGTTTTGAAATTTATGCATTGATTACAACTTTTTAAAAGGACTACGCGACAAACTTGAGCAGTCCCGCCTAATCGTTATTCGCTGTGTAATCAACCACTTGCTGACCTCGCTTGTTTGTAATGTAAAATAGGTGTTATTATGGAAGACGAATATTTGTGAAGCTAAGTACATATTCCAAGCGCTTCAGAACCTCCCTCCCCTTCCCAAAACTGTCTCCTGACAAGAGTTAAGCCGATTATCAATGACCTGTTATTGTCATCATGCATCAGCATTTACCCCACGAATCATATGATCTTATATACCATATAAGTTAATGCGAAATCAAAACAAAAGTACATATTGGCAGTTGTCGGCATGGAATGTATTATTAATATGGAACGAAGTTTGACCAACTTTTCATGTACATACCCTTTATATCGGCGAGATGTTGGTTTCATAAGCATTCCGATTGAATCCACTGGCACGGATAACCTGTCATGTGACTTCGCTCACTTTCAAAACACTGGAACGACAACATATTATCGGTGGAAAATACCACTATTAGCTCGATCAAAGTTATTTTCTGACAAACTGGTGTATATGGGACATAACTATATGTATGAAATGACATACTTGATAATAGAAGACGCTTTAATTTTTACGATAAACAAAAGGTTTTTGGCAATGCAGGGCTAAACATACTATCTGTACAACTTCTAACAGCGAAAAACTGACTGCATCAAACTTCTGTTGAATTTTCAGGCATAGGGCAAGAACCGACAAAATCATCCAAGGTTCTGCATAGTATTTCATCTAAAGTTTAACATGTGCTCGATTTTATCATTTTATCATTTAAGTCTTCAAATTAAGGTAGACTCGTCTTAACCGACTGAGCTAATAAATAATCTGAGGCTAATCATAAACGGACCCATAGTGTTTGTATGTGGATACAAAATTTTAGCATGTAAGTTTGTGTAGCAGGGCGTGGAGTCATCCCACAGGTGACATCCTTACCTTGTCAGCTTGCTGATGGGGTTAACCTCTTTGGTCACGTGGACATCAGAAGGTCCGTGGTTCGAATCCCATGGAAATTTTGTGATTGCTGCATTTGTATTGTATGAAACGGTAACCCGAACACGAATCAGTTCAGAGAGTTTAAGTGGACGTTGTTTGACGCATTGAAGAAAATGTTCGTTTTCCTTCCATTCCGGGACAGACAATATGGCGGCAGTACCCTATGGTGTCCAGTTGCTTGTCGTAAGAGGCGACTAAGGGAATCGGGTCAGTCTCACTGACTCGGTTGACACATGTCATCGTATCCCAATTACGTAGATCGATCACTGGATTGCCTGGTACAGATTCGATTATTTACAGACAGCCGCCATATAGCTGGCTGAGTGCGGCGTTAAACAAATGGTATGATGGGCATGTGTCTGCTGCACAGATTCTCAGAATGAGTTCTGGTGATTTATGAGCGCTTCAGGAGGATCCGATTTAGCACACTGTCGGATTCTTCGTAAACAAAAGGGGTTCTGCCACATCTATCTCTTGTACGTCTCACAGTCCCTGAACCGCATTATTTTCCCTTCTGCCTAGCAATATCTGCAATGCTAAAGCCCCAAAAGAAGCAAGTCTAGATTTTCCAAGGTTCTTCTGAATCGCCCTTCTCACTGGGGATCGTTTTCAATGTAAAAGGAATTGTTTGTTTCTATCAAAATTATATGTATTCAGAGACTAGGCGTTAGTCTGTATGAGATTTTAGTACTCGCCACCTTTAGATTAAATCAATATCCGATCTTTGGCCCCCGGAATAAATACATCCAATGCACCAAAATAAGTGTGTAGTTTCTGAAAATGAAGAGTTTGTGGTTTCCCTTTCCATACCATTCTTTAAGACAAATAGGAACTGTTCTTTTTCTGTAAATTACTTCGTTACAGAGACTAGATGTCAGTCTTAGGTAGTTGAGACACATGTATATGCAGTAGGCAGTCTCACAGACCCTAGAGAATAAAATGAGAAATTGATCAAACTCAATTCGAGGCTGATTTGGCAAGTGTCTTGCCTAAATTTGGATTATATTATGCATTTTTAGATAAATATTTAAATACGATAACGTTATTTCTGGGACTAATTTTATTCTAGGAATAGAAGCCGGGCGTCCATTACGCAATACGAATCACAAAATGATATTATCCTCTGCATCAAACACTGAAAAAACATCAACATGGGAATATATTCATCTCTGACTTCACTTGTGTATTTATCCAAAAGAACAGTTGTATTTTCTTGGGCATCATTCAGAAGAACTTTTTGGGGGAATAAAAGAAGTTGAAATCCAAAATTATCTACGTGTCTAATTCCATTTACCGTGGCCATGCCAATTACCATGAGATAATTATTCAGTAACCCATGCTTGTCGTAAGAGGCGACTGACGGGATCGGGTGGTCAAGCTCGCTGACTTGGTTGACACATGTCATCGGTTCCCAATTGCGCAGATTGATGTTCATGTTGTTGATCACTGGATTGTCTGGTCCAGACTCGCTTATTTACAGACCGCCGCCATATTGCTGGAATATTGCTAAGTGTGGCGTAAAACTCAACTCACTCCCTCAATACAAAAGAAATGTAGCCACGTACTTTTAAACATATGTTATATGTTGGAAGCTAATAGTATGATCTATTCATGTCACATGACGTAAACAAGGTGAAAATGGCGGAACGTCTTTCAACATTTTAACTTATGTTTCGAAATATTTCTAAAAATAGAACTAAAATGAACAGATCAGATCTGAAAATTGTCCAGTTTTATTCCTTTGAATATACTCTCTGGTTAAGCACGCGCACAAGCGAATATAATGAAGAGAAATGCCGAACTAACGAAGACTATGGTTGTCGGGTGGTCAAATCTTACGGTGACAGACCTTCCTGATGATGTGATATATCTCATTCTGTCCTACCTAGACGTCCCGTCATTAGGCAGAATATGTCAAACATGCAAGTATCTGAGGACCCTTGCGTCGTCAGACTGCATTTGGTTGCGATACAGCAAACGACATTACATCATCAAGGATCGGTAAGACACGATTGCATGTGGGTGGACATGTTGAAATCGCGAGAAAAACGTTACCATGAAAACATCACAACATCACAACAGTGTTCATTCTTTAACGCTTTTGTTCAGGTTTTTAAACACCAATATAATTGATAAAAGAATATCTATTAGATGTTATACATTTAATAATATCAGTTTAAATACGTTTCCTCGTTGCTAATTTTCTAAGTGCCCAAGGTGCTTAGTACAACAAGAATGTTAGGCCAAATTACCTTTAGGCCAGTACATCAACATTCTGAAGCTCTGTTTGTAAACAATAGCTGATAACCACTGAGCTTACTCATCTCTGTGAAGCTCAACGAGAAATTTCTGTTCATGTGTCCACACCACAGGTTTTGGGTTATTATGACCGGACATTTCTCCTACTTCTAAACACATACAATGCCGTCCGGTAAATCCGTGCACCTAAGCACATTGATCGCAACACGGCAACTAACTCTTATTTTTTGTGGTTATGTGACTAAACATGCTGGTATGCATCATATTTTACCTAGAAATATAAGTTTTATTGACGACTATAAGATTCTAATGTTGCATTATGCGATACGGTTGACCTTACCGGCGTTCTGACGACATCGCTTGCTGTCCGGTAATTCTGCGCAGCAACTGGTGGACATAACATCCAGTTGGAGATCCGAAGTATGGAAGAGTATTAGGGCCAGATTATTTTCAAAAATCACTTCATCAATGTAAGGAAGAGTGTTTCATATTAAATCCAATTATGAATAATGAAGAAAAAGGTTTAAAAGTCTGAAGAAAACAAATTTTTATGAAACTGTCAATTTATCTGTCAGTTACTTTTATTTACTTACCTCAAGTGATTAAAAGCCAGTCTCTTGTAGAAATGTCCCGATTTCAAGCATAAATGTGGTAGCAGACGATGGTTACCTTCCATACGGAAGTACGCTATTGCAGCTGCACAGAATTACCGGACACGCAGAATTACCGGACTTGCTTGTACTTATTCTGAAGTAAGATAACACAAGCCTTTTGGTTGTCTTTTGGAACACTTTAGATATGTTTCTTGCATAGTTATATAACTTTGTAGTTACAACTGTGACACAGAGTTGCATGACAATATAGTTTACAAATGAAAGGAAAAATTCCAAGGAACTCACTTCAGTTTGTATCTAATCAAAAATGACCAAAGCAGAGCAGACTATTATCTTCAGCAGAGCTTGAGATGTTGATGTGCAGAGCTCTATTGTTGTTGAACTAAAGGTGTGGTGTCACACTCGAAAAGTATTTCATTAATGCATGATTTAAAAACACTTAAAAATGTTGATGTGCCTGCCCTTTGAAACATGCTACTATAACGCTTATAGGGGACCTGTAATAGAACCGCTATTCCCTATACTACTTACCATAATATCAACACATGTAATCATAAAGCACCTGACTAATTATGTGTATCAACTGTTTTTCAGCTGTTGTGATTCCCTGAAGAACAAGTGCAGAGTTGCCCAAAACTGGGCAAATGGAAATTTTCGGGAAGTGACACCGATAAAGAATTCAGTCAGGTAAAAAATCAGTTTACTCCCATAAGAACTTTATCACATTTGAAATAGGAATACATCCAAGCACTGTCATCCCCTGTCAGATGAAACAGAAGACTGCAATCGAGTACCTCGATGCAGTTGGCTACTTATTGAAGCTGGGCTAAACTAGTTCTACATGGATCAGATTGAACACTAAGGATGAAAGTGACACTGAGGATGAAAGTGACACTAAATTATCACACTAAATGTATAAGCCTATCTATAGATGAACTGTCTATACATCTCGTTCTCTCTCTCTCTTTCTCTCTCTCTCTCTCTCTCTCTCTCTCTCTCTCTCTCTCTCTCTCTCTCTCTCTCTCTCTCTCTCTCTATATATATATATACAGTCATCCCTCGCAATAACGCTCTTCGCGATACCGAGGATTCGGTTAAACTGCGGGGTAATCTGTGTCTCCCATAAAAAAAGTTGCCCAGTGATCACACATATTCACGTCATTGAAAATAGCACATCAACAAATCCGCTCTTGAGCTCTGGTTAATCACGTTGTAAACTAGTGAAATTCGGTGCGGATTGCAATTAACAGTGTTTATCGTACATATCCATGGTTTTTCAGGTGCTTAAAACATGCAGGGTCTTTTTCAATAATAATAGATGAACAGCGAAACATCGTAATAACTTTATCCTAAAGACATGTCGATCATCAGCTGAGTACTTACAATGTTTGCTATGATGCAACACACCGCGTAATTGCGCGGGTAAACACCGCCATCCGAGAATGTATGATGTCAGAAAACACATTTTATTTGATTAAATTCAATCCCTTTTCATTCATTAAAACTGTTTACAATAACAACGGAGAAACCATGAGTGAAATGGCATTACCTCATTCCATACAACGCCTGCTTACCACATTCGTGAGCATCCGTTTTTTGCGCCTACCGCGATAGCACCAATTTCACATTTTTCTCAGCAATCACGAACAGATTACAGCCTTGTCATCCATTGACCCCAAGACCAGTGTTATTGACTCATCGAAGTCATATTTGACAATTAATTGCCAACATTTTGTTTTTACAATCAAAGTGGCATGTACTGCGGGAAGTCAGTGGTGACTTGTCAAACTGTCTCCTACGTAAAATGTATCCAGCCAGGTAACCCAAAGTGCTTAGCAATGCTTGTTATTATGTTAAATATGTTCGTAGAAAACATGCATTATACTTATACAATAGCAATATATAAGATTTCTTTAGAATAACTGCTTGACATATAAATTAGAAATTCTTTGATGTTATATTTTCGGATCGTTTTTAACTGAATCACCGGTACATTGGACCAAAACATCAATGTGTGCCCAGCTGATTGCTATTTCCGGGTTAGTTGAATAACAGGTAGCATGACAGGAACAACAAATGAATTATCATGTCTTGTGATGTTTGATTGCAAGTTTCATGTACATACATCTATTTTTGATTTACAAAGTTTTGGTTTTTTTCACCTACAACAATACGATATAGTTTTGACTGGGCACAAAACACGAAATAGCAGTTTTGTTATGTCCATGAAAAATACGTTTTTGCTTGGCCTTTGTTCCGCGTTATGTAATCGTTACTATAACGATCCGCGTTATGGCGAGGGATGCCTGTATATATATATATATAATTTGTGTTCTGTTGGGCAAATCCATGCAGCAGATGCAGGTGACAGCATGTAGTTAATCTGTGGACTGGACCAAAACATGTGTTGAAGGAAAACCAAGTTCTATGGATAGTCAACTTCTTTATTGCAATGAGTGCAACGTTTCGGTGTAGGTACTAACACTGTTATCAAGCTAGTGATACAAAGAGTTGTAACATGGAGAATATATACATAGCTGCATAGTGAGTATATACAATTGACAAGGTTAATATACATTGAAGAAACTTCATTGGCTTCCTGTTCGCTACTGAACCATCTACAAGATTCTGCTCCTCACTTTCCAATCACTCCACAATCTTGCTCCTGACTACATCTCAAGTCTTCTCCAGCCATACCAACCTCGGCGCAGTGTTTGGTCAGCTGACAGCCATCTCCTTGTGGTACCAAGCTCCAGAACCAAGTCTTACGGCAAACGGTCTTTTGCATCAGCAACACCATTCTTATGGAACAAACTCCAAATCAACATACGGGCCTCACAAGAACTTTCACTCTTCATAGCCAAACTAAAAACACATCTGTTTAGCCAAGCCTACTGAATCTCACTGTATAGATGTGGAACTCAAAGCGCTTTAGAGCGGTGCTTATCTGATTTTAGAGCTATATAAATGTTATGAGGTATTGGTGGATTACTGGTGATCTGTAATTAGGTGGTGATAGGCCGAGGAGATAAATCCATATTGTAGCGGTAATGTTGACTGATGTAACCATAGTAACACAATGTCATTGTATTTGCAGGTTGTTACCTTGGTTACAGTATGATGACTCACGGCTGTGGGTTTCCTCCAAGAACTGTATCAAGCAGTATCATGTCTTGAAGAACGGTCACCTCCGAGAGAATTCACAGCGCCATCTACGTGGGCCTAAAGAAGATGTGTGTCGCTTTGTTAACAAGAATAATCTCACAGTCTGTGGATGCAGGTACGTCTGATGTCTTCAGATTATTGAGTGGGTTTTATCAAGTTTTCTATGATTCTACCCAATTTTGATAGATTTGGTTGCCTAAACCCATGCTTATTGAAAAAGACTACTGGTTTATTGTACTCAACGACAAGTGGTGTGATCTGATATCGACCACTAGTGTGTCTCATCCAACCTCAATCATTACAATAAATATTACTGAATTTAGTGGGAAACAATAACAAACTTTAAGTAACTGTTATAATTCAGGTGACATTTCTAGTTTCGCCCACCATGATAATGATGATGTTGCAAACACTATCTATGCAAACTTGCCAATATAAATTAGTGTGAAATATGGAAAACTGTGTTATAACAAACACATTTATACCAAACTGACAAATATAACTTTGTTGTCCTGGACACTTGTATATTTTAGTAAAATGCATATAACAAACTACGGTTATAACAAGCTAGAATTAATTTTACCTTTGAGTTGGTTTTTACAGCCGTATACTGAAAATCAAAGTGGCAGGAGGCCATCTTCCTGCAGTTCATTTAGAGTGATCTCCCTTTGACTGTATTTCTCTGTCAACACAGGGATGGTACGGTCATGGGCTGGGAGACATCGTCCGGCTGTCAGTTATTCAACTATAAACTCCACTCCAGTGATGCACAGTGTGTGGACATCATCGAGACCCTGGTGGTGTCCGGTTCCAGGGATGCAACTGTCAAGGTAGATAACTCATGTCATATAGTATATGTTTCTGCCAAGAGGATATGTTATAAGGCAGGCCATATTTATTTCTGTGTCCAGTGTCCTGCTTGCGTTAAGTTTTATCCTCCTGCCATATATTATAATGCGGGGGGATATAGTCGATACCTCGTCTGTCTGTCTATCCATCCGTCCATACATCAGGATCATTTTGTTTCCGGAGCATAACTAAAAAATGTTGAATATTTTTCAACCAAAATTGGTATATATATCAAACAGAACCTAAAGTGGTGACTTATGCTATTTACAGATTTTAGGCATTTTTATTTTTCTGGATTTCCTGGAAACAATTTGGACTTAGTCTCCAAAAGGGGTGGATTTCATTCCGGAGCATACTAAAAAATCGCTCAATATCTATCAGTAAAACTTGGCAGATATATGAGGCAGATACCAAAGTGGTGCCTATTGCAGATTTTAGGCATTTATATTTTTTTGGTTTCCATGGAAACTGTTTGAATTTAGTCTCAAACGGGAGGGGTGGGTTTCGTTTGCCGAGCCCAACTCGAAAACCTTTCAATATCTTTCAACAAGACTTGGCAGAAATTTGGGATAGATCTTGGAGTGGTGCCTTTTGCTAATTTCAGACTTTAGGCATTTTTATTTTTCCCGGTTTCCATGGAAATGAATCAGACTTAGTCTCAGAAGGGAGGGGTGGGCTTCGTTTCAAGAGCACAAGTAAAATAACGTCTTTCTACAAGACTTGGCAGATTTATCAAAAAAGATCTTGAAGTGGTGACTTTTACTATATGCAGATTTTTGGCATATATAGTTTTGGCATATATAGTTTTAAGTAACTGTCAGATGATTTGTTCTTTCAAATTTGTGGGGGACAGGGGGATATGTCATCCTCTGATGACTCTTGTTTATCTGACTACTAAGGCTGTGTGTTGAGAAAAAGATTAGATTGTTGTATTTGCGAAACAGGTCATCGTATCTCAGTAGTGTAGATTGCTTCTCATGATGTCAATCACTGGATTGTCTGGTCCCGACTGTTTAACTGGAACATGCTGAGAATAGCGTTAAACAACAAATAAACCAAACAAGTCTCAGTATTGGAGCAATAATGTGATATATTATGAATTTTACTTTCTGACACTGACTGGCTGTTTGTAGGTGACCTCCATGCAGCCAGACGGCAACTACAGCAGACTGAGGAAGACGCTAGCCGTAGGAGCTCGAGTTTGGTCTTTAGCTGTTTCATCTCCTGGAAGGTAGGTTGTGAGGTCATTGGCAGTCCATCCTTTGGTTGTCGTACCCATCCTGTGGCAAACAAATGACACATTTCCTTGACAGCAGCATTAAACCCTGTGTCACATCACCTATTTGTTCTGACTAAGCCCACCTCTGTAACTGGACAGCAGCATTAAACCCTGTGTCACATCACCTATTTGTTCTGACTAAGCCCATCTCTGTAACTGGACAGCAGCATTAAACCCTGTGTCACATCACCTATTTGTTCTGACTAAGCCCACCTCTGTAACTGGACAGCAGGATTTAAAACCCTGTGTCACATCACCTATTTGTTCTGACTAAGCCCACCTCTGTAACTGGACAGCAGCATTAAACCCTGTGTCACATCACCTATTTGTTCTGACTAAGCCCATCTCTGTAACTGGACAGCAGCATTAAACCCTGTGTCACATCACCTATTTGTTCTGACTAAGCCCACCTCTGTAACTGGACAGCAGGATTTAAAACCCTGTGTCACATCACCTATTTGTTCTGACTAAGCCCACCTCTGTAACTGGACAGTAGCATTAAACCCTGTTTCACATCACCTATTTGTTCTGACTAAGCCCACCTCTGTAACTGGACAGCAGCATTAAACCCTGTGTCACATCACCTATTTGTTCTGACTAAGCCCACCTCTGTAACTGGACAGCTGGATTTAAAACCCTGTGTCACATCACCTATTTGTTCTGACTAAGCCCACCTCTGTAACTAACAGAGCCACAATATTTGTTGCAGTTTGATTGCATCAGGATCGTCAGGCTGTGGTGGAGTGCCTCCCGTCACGATATGGGATCTCAACAGGTAGGACCAACCACCTTGTTAGACAGACAGAGTTGTGACCCTTAGGCATGTGTATTTTGATGTAGAAAGGTCTGCATGTTTAAGATTAACATGGTTTGCAGATGAAGTCAGTGGGAAAATTAAGGTTGATCGTAAAATTGTTTGTGAAGTGTTCTTACGTGTGAACTATAAGCACTAAAACACAAATCTGCTGTTTGAATGTTAGTTGAACAATAGTCTACTGGCCGTTCATCACTTCCACACCACTGACCATGGATGGCTGATGATAAATTGATGCATACATCTCAATGTTAAATAGATAGCTTATCCTTATCTTTCGATTGTTTACAATAGAATCTGTGATGGTTAAAACCTGGAAGTAGTACATGTATTTTCCCCAAGCAGCATGACTTAGCATGAAGACTGCCACTGGATTCAGTGTCAGCTTGACCATTAGGATGAGGATAGCAATGATGATGATGGTGGTGGTGTTTAGCGATGATGATGATTATGATGATGGTGGTGTAGTTTGGTGATGATGATTATGATGATGATGGCGGTGGTGTTTGGCGATGATGATGATGGCAGTGGTGTTTGGTGATGATGATGATTATGATGATGGTGGTGGTGGTGTTTGGCGATGATGATGATTATGATAATGATGGCAGTGGTGTTTGGCGATGATGATGATTCTGATGATGATGGCGGTGGTGTTTGGCGATGATGATGATTATGATGATGGTGGTGGTGGTGTTTGGCGATGATGATGATTATGATTATGATGATGATGGCGGTGGTGTTTGGCGATGATGATGATTCTGATGATGATGGCGGTGGTGTTTGGCGATGATGATGATTATGATGATGGTGGTGGTGGTGTTTGGCGATGATGATGATTATGATGATGGTGGTGGTGGTGTTTGGCGATGATGATGATTATGATAATGATGGCAGTGGTGTTTGGCGATGATGATGACGATGATGATGATTATGATTATGATGATGATGGCGGTGGTGTTTGGCGATGATGATGATTCTGATGATGATGGCGGTGGTGTTTGGCGATGATGATGATGATGATTATGATGTTACAGCGGTGAAGTTGTCAGTCAGCTTGGGAGTGACCACAAGAGAGGGGCAGGGGTGCTGGACATGAAGTTTGAATCTCCCTACACCTTGCTGACTTGCGGCCATGACACCTCCCTCCGCCTCTGGGATCTGAGGACTCACACATGGTAATGTCTCTTTACACTCTCTCTCTCTCTCTCTCTCTCTCTCTCTCTCTCACTCACTCTGTAGGCATGGTAGATGTGTATTCTTGTCTTGCTCATTTTCTTCCTTAGTGTCTTGATATGTCATGTCAGAATATAGCGTACAGCAACTGTGCTTATGTTTACAAACTCCTGCAATATCAAAAGGCAACAAAGAAGCATGCAAGGCATGAGTTTTTCTGACCCGTATAATCCTTTGACTGATAAAAAACGACAAAATGATTCGAATCCATGTTGATTTTATTATGATAATTGCTCATTTTAGAAAACCCACTGATTTTCATACAAAAGCATGTCTGTACAAGTATCACCCTGGAATGTTCAATGTTGAATTTATTGGTGAATGTCATTTTGCTTGTCTTACATGATTCAAGGTCAATACTGAGTGTAACCTCCATATGACTGTATGACAGCCAGCACTCTCCTCCTCATACCCCCTGTCAGCCTCCTGATCCTCTGAAGGGGCAGTCTACACCATTCCTCATGTAAAGCAGCTTTCAATTGAGCCAGATTCTGTACAGGAGGATCCCTTTGTTGCACACTCTGACCAATCATGTCCCAGATATACTCCAAAGGGTTATGATCGGGGCTCATTCAATTGTGAGATATGTCAGGGTGTTTTAACTAAGTTCTTTTTGTATATGTTGTTCTATTCAATATTTTAGCAATTTACTGAATGTTTGTCCAGTGTATCGACATGGGTGGAGCCATTTGACTCAGCGTTGTACTGTCTGGCCACTGACGACGACAACACCATCATGACAGGCACGGCTCGACACGGCATGACACGCCGGTGGGACAAACGCAGCACCAACGCCTTGCAGGTTAGTAAGGAAGCTTGGACTTGAAGTCCCCGGATCGATGTTTAGTGATCTATAGTAATGTGAGGAGCCCCACATCGGTGTGCTCTACAGATGTACTGCACCTACTGGCATAAGATGCTTCAGTATTTTGTGCATAGTTGTCTCCCTTGTCATGCCAGGATCAGCTGATTATGGGTTCAGATCCTAGAGCTGCTCTAATTATGATCCCCTTTTTCATCACCACTCTCATGGGTTTCTCCTTGGTGAAAAATATCTTCAACTTCATAACATTCAGCTTTTCATTATCTGAAATACTGAAATCAATTAGGCTTTAAACCCACCTATCTCACTGACCCCATGTATTTGTTGTACAGATGTACTACACCGGAATGTGCAGCAGCCCAGTCTATTCCCTGGCCTTCAACTCAAGATGGATGTACGTGGCGCTAGACCTGTGTACAAACCTGGTCGACTTCACAGTAACGAACACAAACAATAGAAATAGGTAGTCGCACAGGACAAACTGTGTTACAAGCTTCATGTGATATATATTATGTTATCTACTGTTGACATGTTATCATGTTATCATCCCATTCTCATCAATATTGTGTTCTCAGAAGGACAAGTTGTTTTTACATCAAGGAAATTAAAAGTTAAAAAAAGATTTAAAATGCTATTCTTATTCTTTTTGTTGCCTTGTTTCTATGCATGCCCTTTGTTTGAACTAGTTGCATAATAGGGAGTCAGATGGACTGGGTGACATCGGGAAGTTGTCTGGCCTGCTGCTTCACTGAGATTGTGGTAATTAGTGAAGACAGACAAATGTCAAACTGTAGAATGAAATTATTACCCAGTTAGTTCTATCAGTGATACTTAATCTTCAACCAGTAGCAGGTACGGGTGACCTAGTCTCAAAGGACCAAAACTCGTTCGGTTATGTCAGTTTGGCATGCCTAAAACCTTTGATTTTGGGTTCAAATCGCAGTTCGCATTGATTGTCTTTCTTGGTTCGTCTGTACTATACCTTTGCTGGAGGGTTTTAATGGTAATGGTAGAAGTCTGTGACTTGCATCACCATGGGCTCTCATTCCTCACCAGCCTCGCAGGCTGTTATGTAACTGGAATACAGTTCCAGGTAGTGCGGAACCCTGCTTGCTCATTAAACCCAGGCAAGTATTGACACATGTCATTGTGTCCCAGTTGGGTAAGTCGATGCTCGTGATGTCAACACTGGATTGTCTGGTCCAGACTCCGTTATTTACAGACCGACATCGTGATGTCAACACTGGATTGTCTGGTCCAGATTCTGTTATTTACAGACCAACATCATGATGTCAACACTGGATTATCTGGTCCAGACTCTGTTATTTACAGACCAACATCATGATGTCAACACTGGATTGTCTGGTCCAGACTCTGTTATTTACAGACCAACATCATGATGTCAACTCTGGATTGTCTGGTCCAGACTCTGTTATTTACAGACCAACATCATGATGTCAACACTGGATTGTCTGGTCCAGACTCTGTTATTTACAGACCAACATCATGATGTCAACACTGGATTGTCTGGTCCAGACTCTGTTATTTACAGACCAACATCATGATGTCAACACTGGATTGTCTGGTCCAGACTCCGTTATTTACAGACCAACATCATGATGTCATCTCTGGATTGTCTGGTCCAGACTCTGTTATTTACAGACCAACATCATGATGTCAACACTGGATTGTCTGGTCCAGACTCCGTTATTTACAGACCAACATCATGATGTCAACACTGGATTGTCTGGTCCAGACTCTGTTATTTACAGACCAACATCATGATGTCAACTCTGGATTGTCTGGTCCAGACTCTGTTATTTACAGACCAACATCATGATGTCAACACTGGATTGTCTGGTCCAGACTCTGTTATTTACAGACCAACATCATTGATGTCAACATGGATTGATGTCAGACTCTGTTATTTACAGATGATGTCTGGGTCCAGACTCCGTTATTTACAGACCAACATCATGATGTCAACTCTGGATTGTCTGGTCCAGACTCCGTTATTTACAGACCAACATCATGATGTCAACTCTGGATTGTCTGGTCCAGACTCCGTTATTTACAGACCAACATCATGATGTCAACTCTGGATTGTCTGGTCCAGACTCCGTTATTTACAGACCAACATCATGATGTCAACACCTGGATTGACTCCATTATTTACAGACCCGACATCATGATGTCAACTCTGGAGTCCAGACTCCGTTATTTACAGACCAACATCATGATGTCAACTCTGGATTGTCTGGTCCAGACTCCGTTATTTACAGACCAACATCATGATGTCAACTCTGGATTGTCTGGTCCAGACTCCGTTATTTACAGACCAACATCATGATGTCAACACTGGATTGTCTGGTCCAGACTCTGTTATTTACAGACCAACATCATGATGTCAACACTGGATTGTCTGGTCCAGACTCTGTTATTTACAGACCAACATCATGATGTCAACTGGATTGTCTGGATTGTCTGGTCTGGTCCAGACTCTGTTATTTACAGACCAACATCATGATGTCAACTCTGGATTGTCTGGTCCAGACTCCGTTATTTACAGACCAACATCATGATGTCAACTCTGGATTGTCTGGTCCAGACTCCGTTATTTACAGACCAACATCGTGATGTCAACACTGGATTGTCTGGTCCAGACTCCGTTATTTACAGACCGACATCATGTAGCTGGAAAATTGGTGAGTGTGGCATTAATCAACAAACCATTCAAAACAAATCTAACAGATTAAATTGAGAAATTTAGTTCTTATTCTGACATGATCATCAGAAAGTGTTTGTACGAACTGTATAAGGATTGCATATTTTTTAGAAGGCAGTTGCTTGATAACAGTGTTAGTACCAACACCGAAACGTCACACTCATTGCAATAAAGAAGTTGACTATCCATAAAAGTTGGTTTTCCTGTATAAGATTTGACTACAGGCATTCATTTTAATATAAAACTACTAAACATACAGCTATATCTGGGTAAAGTGGCAGGCATGTTTGTTGCTCAGCGGCAGATTTACTCATGATCAGTCCAGGGTCCTGATCCACAAAGTGTCCGTAACGTTACGACCTATCGTAACACTATACATAGACTTACGAATGACATAGTGCTACTAAGGTTTTGTGGATCAGGCCCCTGCATTTGATGCTGGACAACAATATAGCATGCAGAAGGTTAATCTTTGGGGGGCTCGGGAATTTCATTCAGGGCAATAATATAGCATGCAGAAGGTTAATCTTTGGGGGGGCTCGGGAATTTCATTTAATATAGCATGCAGAAGGTTAATCTTTGGGGGGCTCGGGAATTTCATTCAGGGCAATAATATGGCATGTGGGGTTAAACCCTCTCTTTGGTGTTGGTTTTTATGATTCTTATTATCATGTTTTTAAGGCATTGACCAGTGTAACATAATTCTAAAATTCCTAGTGAATGAGGATCATCTGACCATGATCAAGACGTAGAGGAAGGTAGATGTATAATGTGTACATATGACAAGGACATTAAAACAGTTCTGCTAGTTTTATTCTATATCACTGCTGTTTAACAGTGTTTTTAGGGAGGAGGTTAAGTCATCAGACTAGTAAAAGTAAAGTTTAGCCTGGGGTATTATTCACTATATTCAAGGCACACAATAACGAAAAAATTACTGACCCAACAGTGATATGTATGGTTCTATCATTAATACCAGACAATGTTTTCCTTGAATTCCCCACTGACTTCCAATTTAAGTATAGCAATTGGAAAAAGTTTCAAAAAAATTTGAAATCCATTAAAAAGTTAGGTCAATTGTGAAAAGTTTTCCCCAAAATGTAATCGTTGAAATCAGAAATTATATGCAATGATAAATTAATTTTGGAATTTGTCTGTGTTTCAAGTTCCAGCTGGTGAGAAAATAAAAGCAATACTAGAATCTCGTGGACATCTGAAGTCTTCTGTTGTCTGGTGATATTTATTCAAGTGCCTACAGGAAGACTGATCGGTTTACCTATGTGGTTTCAATGCCCATTTTCATAAACATATTTGATAGCATGGTTGAGGTTTGAGCAGTTGTCATGAAACACTATATTCAAATTAGCTATGAATTCTCTATTCTTAAGCAGCCTTCACACCAAAAACTTAACTTTTACAACACACGTTTAAATTTTAAAAGTTGTCAAACTCTCGTTTTCACATGTAAAACACATGTTGTCAAACTTTCATGTCATTAGAGACCGATCCTATTTATCGACAACAGTTGGCAACTCTGAAATTGGTGTTGGTGGTGAGTTGTTGGAATGTTCACACTGTCAAACTTGAGTTTGACAACATTTGTTGTCAAACTTTAGTTTGCCGTGTGAAGGCCGCTATAATTTTGTTTGTTACTTTGTTTGCATGTATTGTAACTGTAGACTTGGTACATTTGTTCATTTAATCTAAGTTCAATGTCCATTTTATTTTCAGATAAATTTGTTATGGTTGTAAGCAATAGTAATGAGATTTGTTTCTCCTGTTGGTTTACAGATGTTTGTTTTGATCTTACAATGTCAGTGACTGAAAAAAATATAAATTTGACAACATTTTCCCACCCAAACAACTACAGCATTATATTTTGTCTCAAAGGATAGTCTATGTCACTTCAAACTTTGTGGTGAAGACTACGTCATATGTTTTGTATGTCTCAATGAATCCTCTTTTCAAGACATTATTTGAGTGATATATCATGTTAACTTTGTTTCTTTTTTTTTTATACTTTTAGAGTTGGTATTAAAATATATGAAAAGTTATTAAATTCTTATTTTGATAGCTAACAAAGCAACTTATCTGTAAACCAACAACAAAATTAATCACCTTGCAAAGTGTGATGAGATATCTAGCAGGGATTTGATTTAAAGGTTCCTGCTGTGTCAAGAAATGTAGAATTGTAGTAATTTCAGTCAGAATTATTATTAACAGAATAAGGAAATTGGTGGTTCAACCCACAGTCACCACAACGTTTCCTTGTCACTAGAGACCTGGTGGCGTCCACAAGCATTAAGCCGGTCACCTCATGCATTATGTTGTTGATTGCTATGTATACAATATACATGCTGTAGATCTATTCATCATAATGTGTCAAGTCTTAACACCTGGTGTCTATGTTCTGTAATACAGAATAAGCTTTATTTACTCTTACTGTCTGCTCAGCAGCAATAAATTCAAGTTACAAGTAATCCGTTTGTCATTATTTCTGGGATGTAGTGGCAACTTAATTAATTCATACCATGTGTAGAATACTGGGACATATATTGGGGCGTATATGGTGGCATGCCGGAGTATAGGTCATATGCAAGAATATGGAAACATTTGCAAGAAGAGCGTGATATGGACAACATTAGGGCACATAAACTAACATAGGTACATCTATGTGCCGGAATATAGGCGTATAAATGCCAACATAGTATTATATGGGATTATGCAGCAACATGGGGTATATGGAGCAACACAGGGGATTATGCAGCAACATGGGGTATATGGAGCAACACAGGATTATGCAGCAACAAGGGGTATATGGAGCAACACAGGGGATTATGCAGCAACATGGGGTATATGGAGCAACACAGGATTATGCAGCAACATGGGGTATATGG